AAAAATGCTGAGAAAAAAGCTGAGGAAAAGCCATAGAAAACTATTGGAAACAGAGAAGGCGAGAGAGACCGAATGGTGCAGATTTTAACTCAACTTTGTTGCAACGCGACATTTTTCCAATGGCAGTGGGTGGGGTTGGAGGTGCAACCGGGTGGCAATGGGTGGAGGTAAGTGGGTGCAAAAGGGGGCAGCCGCCATTGTCATAATGACGCGCATTCCGGTGCACTTGGCTATGGATTGCCGTATCCTTTGTGTCCTTTTCCCGGCATTCGCTAATTAAGTCATGGCATGCCACCAGCCCACAAACTTGCACTGAAAGAAAGATCTAAGGATCTAAATAGTTTAAGAAATTGCTATTATAATAAAGGATTTAAAAAAAAATGAAATAAACCTTGAATCATTAGAGAGAGTTATATATATTTCGTTTAGAAATATAATAATATGATATAGTTGGGAAGAACTTTTTACCAATTCTAAACAGGTTTTCATTTATTTACCAAATATTTAGTTATGCCTTAAAACATGATTATGGAAAAGGGTTAAAACATCTCAAAGCCTTATCACTTTCCCCTCCCTCTAAACCAAATCTCATCAAATGATATGACAGGGGAAATCTTTCACCCAGAGAGTGTGTGTGGATTTCCCCAAAGAAGCTAATCAGGCAAACCTAACGAAATTTGCCAGGAAAATCCGTCAAAGTCAGGAGCGTTTGGCCCGCGGCATTCAGCGTATAGGCCATTAGCCTATAAAAGCGCCCACACATGTCTGCTGAAAGTCCTTGAGGCACAGGAGCACTCGGCACATTGTCATCGTCATCATGGTATCGGTATCCACAGGGATATCATCACCATCATCATCATTTCTGAAGACAGAATCTGTCAGGATTGTGATGAAAAAACAGAGATTTTTTTGGCTACAAGTAAATAGGTTTTAAAATATTGAATTCTATTTTTGGATACAGGAAGAATTGATAAATAAGTAATATAAATAGAAAGCATTTTGCCAAGGAAGTTATGTTTAGGATACAGCGGATCTTGAAATTTTTAATATTTCAGAATTATATTAACGAAAAGGGAGATTAATATTCCAGATTTTTAATCAATAAATAAGGCAATAATTTACCTAGAAACCTTCACAAAAAAAAAAATATTTATATATTTGAAAGATATCTTTGATTTACCTTTTTTTCTACCTAATTTTCTGACAACACTGACATCGAAAAGAGTGAAAAAAGGGAAATCTGATACTTTGCCCGAGAAAAACGCGTCAAACTTTTGCAGCCGCTGGCTCAAAAAAAAGGAGGTATGAGGGTGGATTTCTAAAAAATGTGTTGCATGTTTATTTGAAAAATCGCTAAAGGATAACTAAAGGATTCCCCTAAGGGTATTTCGCAAGCTCGAGTGATTTGTTTGCGAATTTACATACACACTCTTTATCATCCCCGCCCATGTCCCTGGGTGTTTTCCAACTCGTTGATCAGGCTCCCCCACATTTTCCTTTTTTTTTTTTTCCTGGTAGCCACCTTATCCCACTCAATGCGGCTGCGGCAATAATTTTGCATAACGAATAAGTTGAATAAGTAAAGGTATCCAAATTGAATCAGTGCCGAATTGAATCTTCCCCCGGGCTCCCCGTGTTAAGTGGCAAATTCAATTTTCCCTGGCAGCTTTTCAGCTCCAAGTTGACATTTATGAGAAGCCATTTTCTCTGTTCTCTGTATCGATTTCCATTTGCCCTCGAGCCAAGTGAGGGGTAGAGTTCATACAATCCCCAAATGGCAGGATCATTAACTAACCTGCCCCCCTCCGAAGTCAGTAAATAATGTAATTTATGAATTACAATTAAAAATACATGCTGAGGCAGGGATCAGGATGGACCACATGTGTCTGCCCTTTTTTGGGGGTGGTTCCCCTCGACTTTTCATGCTTTTGCTCATCAGTCCTTGTTCCTATCCCTGGTCCAAGTTCTATAGTCCGGCAGCTGTAATAAAACTCCCCATTTGGTCATTTGGCAATTATCCCGATAAATTAGCAGCAGGACAATGGCACAAACGAGTCGCGTCGCGACCCACCCACTAATATTCCACCTCCTCGGCTATTTCTGGAAAAACCAGACAAGGGTTGAAGGAAAATTCGGAAAATTCGAGTCCATGAACTGGCTTGGAGTTTATACGGATTAAATTCGTAAATTTTGTGGCTTATGAGAAGTATTTTTAATTGTTAGAATAGTTATTGTTAGTTTCCTTCAAAATAGTGTGAGGTATTTTATGAGACATTTTATTTTATGATCTTAAGTATATATCATATATTTATTTAGTAATTTCGGTGCTTGACAGTTCAATGATTTTTTCACTTAACTAAACTAGATTATAACCCAAGTGTTGGACTATATTTAAGGCCAAAAATCCTTTTATTAATTAACAAAAGTTAAAAAATATTTATAGTTTACAAACCCACAAATTAAATCAAAGAACCTAAAATTCTTTTCCAACTGCAACTCTTTCTGAAAACAATATTTTATATTGGTTTATATAGAAACTGACCACAAAAAAAAAAAAAAATCTCCTCCTATCATATTCATTTTCTTTTTTGGGAGTAGTTTTGCAGGTGTGGAAAATCGGCTTTTCAGGTTAACAAAATCAACTTGGCAGCGAATTAAAAACGAACTGAAAAGGGGGGGAACAACTAGCAAAAACAGGCAGAAATGCAAACAGAATACAGGGCAGGAAAAGCTTTTCGGAAAAATGCAAAATAACGGGAAAAGCATTGGAAAAACCGAGGCCAGCGAGCGTGTAAAAAGCCTCACACACAAACTCAATCAATCAACGGACGGGAATAAAGCGCGTATACGCAGTGTTGTCCATGGCCAAAGTAACAAATGAACACACACACAGAGGCACAACAAGGACTCCGACTGCAGCGCAAACACACACTCATGCACACACACACACTCGCACAGTAAGGCTCAGGTTGTTAGTCGCTTGTTTCGCACTGCTTGCCAAATACCACAAAATCTATTTCGATTCGCAATCAAAATCCCAAATTCCATTTGTACTATGACGATGCCCGGAGAATGGACAACGGACTCCGGGAAAGTGTGTGGTGTGTGTGTGTGTGTGTGTGTGTGGAGTAGGCCGGAGAGACTGCGATTGGAAAATCGTGGCCAACTTGTGCTTGAGTGCTTTCGTTTGTATTTAGTGGTGGACTTAAAAATACAGAGGCGGTCCCCAATCCACATCCATTCGATCCTGGCCAGGAAAAGCGTTGGTGCACCCACAAAGGCCGTGGCCACAAAACGCATCCGGCGCTGACGTTGAACGATGAGTCGCCGCTGAATGGTGGACGCACTCGTCCCATTTCCACCTCCTATGTAGATATCCTATGTCCTATGTCCTAGGCCTAGTCCTATTCCAAGCACTTGAAAAAAAAAACAATAGAAAAAAATGTATTATTGATTTGTTTTTTTTTTAATATAAAATAATATAACTTGCTTAATTCATTACTAATAGATAGTAAATAATAGCAGAGAATTTCATTCAGGGTTTGTTAAAACATTTAAAAAGAGGTTTAAAATAAACAACAAAAAGAAAACTTAATATACAGCTATCTATTTATCTTATCTTGTATAAAATTACTGAGGACTACTATTAAAATTTAAAAAAGCTTATTAAAATGAATATATATGTATATATTTTTTAAAACATTGCATACCTTTGGCTCAACATTAATGGCTTTTAAAACATTTAGATTAACGTTTTATTACCTCTTATTATGAATTACAGGGTACTATAATTTTACTCAAAAGTCTTCTAGGCAGTGAAGTAGTCATTTTCGACTATAATCATATCATCAGCATCTAAAACCGAGTTGATCTAGCCATGTCCGGTTGAAAAAAATTGTGATATTTTTTCGAAATTTTATTTAAAAAATGATTTTTGGCTAAGTTATAATGCCATTTATTTAACTTTTATTGATTTTTATGTTTACTTGTATTAAAAGCAAACATTCTGTTAGAATAAATTAATTTTTTACCCTACAATTGTACATTTCTTACACATTTTATATACCCTATTAAATCACTATATATTTCCCAATCCCCTCTTCCTTGTACCCTAACTTTCCAGTGTATCCTGTTTGGTATCCTTGCCCACCCCGCCCTGTCCAGCAGTTGTCCATTCAGCTGCCATGTTTTCCAATTTTCGGCGCACTGCGTTGCATTCAGATTCGTTCAGATGCAAAAGCAACCCAAAAAACGAAGAGGGGCAAGGGAGAGGACTCCTCATCGTTGCTGGCTTTTCCCTGAAAATTTAGTCATTGTTCGCCAAATTGCTTATAAACGCCGCGGCCCCCTGTTTTCCAGGACTGCCTGCCTGCCTCACTGACCGAACTCAATCTGACCTGCCATGTCGGCGCTTTAGTTAGGAGAATACTCCTCCAGGGAGCAGATGGCAACGGGGAGCAGGGGAACCTGATTGCAACACGCTGGCTTTGGTGTTGGCTTTGGCTTTGGCGGTTGGACGACCGCAGCGAGCCGCTTTTTGATCGCCGGGGTGGCAAAGTAAAAATATTATTGCACTCTCGCGGCCTCAACCCCCCACCGAAAAAAAAACAACAAAAAATATATAGTAGGGGGTTTCCCCAGAGTGGGTCAGGATACACACTGGACTCCTGCTCCTCCTGCTCCCTGGAAATAGACCACTCGCGGCTCATCGCGAGCTTAGTCGCCTGGAAATTTTGTAAAATTAACAAAACGATTGAGTGGAAGATCCACTTGGGGGCTCTTATGGGGACTCACACATAAAAGAGCCTTGGATGGATGTTACCACAGAGTAGTAGTAGGTTTGGGTATATCAAAAAAAAAAAAGAGAAAAAGAAGAGCTCTTAAATGCTTTCAAACAATTCTTGATTGGCTATCTTTTTGAAGATAAGAAACTGAATGAAGAGTGTATCAATTCTCTTGTTTTCTCTTATTAAACTGCAATCTATAATTATGTTTATAAAATAATACTAATAATCTTTCCCAATTGATTACTCCGAGAGCTAGAAAAGGTAAATGAGCTCAAAGTATATAGCTTTTGCAATTACTTTATAATTAATTAAGCTTTAGAAGTTATAAATATTGAAATTGCTAAATTTATACATATATTTTTTAGAAAACAATTGCCAGTTTACCTTTGATACTCTCATTCCTCCGTAGGGACCGCCACACTCGCGATAGATTTCACCTCTGCGGTCGGTTCTTGCACCAGCACCTTGTGGGCAGCAGATGCTTCAACGGTTCCAAAATGCGTGCCTGTTCCAGGTAGGTGAGCTGCTGCTGCTCCAACTGTAGCAGACTTATGCCCAAGTGGACGGTGAGAGACTGCGGCGGAAAGACACCATGAACGCAGCGCTGCACGTAGGGCACCAGGTCATAGGCCAGGCACGAGCACAGCCGGATGAACGCTTCTCGTTCACTGCCTGCAAAGCCTGCTGTTCCTGCCTATAGAAGGCCAACACGCGCTGAGCAGCCAATTGCAAGGAGTGCTGCAGACAGTGGGTGACATCAGTGGCCAAGGCAAGTGGAGCACATAGGCGCAGCTCGTTTAAGGCTCCGAGGTAACCATTGCAGAGAGCGGCCAGCGGGTAAAAGTCCAGCAATGTCTCCGGTGGTGCAAAGACTCTTGCTCGGGATCCACATGCTTGCGGGAATGCGAGTGCAGAGACCCCTTGTTGATCAGCGTGAATTTGTCCAGCTCCCGCTCGAACTGTTCGTTTACCTGCTGCACAGTGGTTTCAAAGCGCCGCCGGATGACGCCACAAAGATCGGCGCCATGAGAGCACGGAAATCGGCGCCCACGCGGCTGAAGGAGAGCCCAAAGTACATGCACTGGCCCAGCACGGTCTCAATGGAGCCCACTCCCAGCTGCAGATCACGCTCCAGAGTCTCCAGAAAGGCGTTGATCTTATTATGAAGCCAGGCCTGAAAGAGTCGATCCCCGTTGCAGCTGACGCCCTGCAGCGGCTTAAGGCTGGTCTTCCCTGGGCCCTCTTCTTCCGGAAAGATGGCCCGATACTGGGTAATGATATTGAATAGGTTTATCCTTGTGATTTCGATTGTTTTGGTCAAGTGTTGTTGGGCTGAAATATCGAGAAGAGGATATAAATAGGAACTGTTAGGGATAATTTTCTCCCAACTCACCATCTCCTGTAGGAATTGCCTCCAGGCAAGAGGTGAGCCAGGCATCTCGGGCCTGCAGGAACTTCAGGCGCAGCTCGTTGTCTCCAAAGGCCTGCATTCGGCGCAGATAACCCACAATCTGGAGGCACTTGGGCAGCTGCAGGTCGGTGCGCAGCTGAGCCACCAGTTGCACTAGCATTGTGTGCCACAGGGCCTCCACCGAGCGAACAATGCTCTGAAATGCCATGAATTTGCTTGAATATAATATTTAATCTATCCAAGAAAACCCACCTTAACCACGGAATGTGTCCCTGGTGCTGGCCCAGGCGCGTGGCATAGGCGGCCAGTTCGAGAGCCTCCTCGTAGCGGCCTTCGCGTATGCAACGCTCCATGAGCTGCGGTAGTTCCAGCACCTCCAGCAGCTGGGCGTTCTTCTGCAGCGTGATGGAGTTGAGGCGCCGCTGCTCGTTTAGCTCGGCGGAGTCCTGCAGAAAGCGCTCGCATTGGATGCTAAGATCCGGTAGCTTGCCGACCAGAGTGTCCAAGTGCTGCTCCGAGCGCAGGAACTCGCTGAAAATGGACCTCGAGTTCTCCGCGGTGGTAATGAAGGTTTTGTAATTGGAAATAGCCAAATCCTGCGTCTGCTCCAGAATTGTGCGGGCTTCCTCAGCCAGCCGCGTTTGCTCCTTCTTTAGTTGTTCCACCTTGCAGGTGCCCAGTTTGGCCAAATAGTTGTCCAGCTCCGGATTGCCACGCAGATTGTCTGTGGGGCGGATATGGGAAGTGAGGGTTACCTATTGATTCTGGAGATTCTGAGCCTTCACTTACCTGGCACACCATCGGGAAATATTAGTTTTAGCACCCGCTCATTCTCCAGATCCATTTTGTCCGGAAAATCCATCGTTTTTTTCAGTTTTCAAAGAAATAATTGTGGTTTTACCTTGAGTTTGTTTTTCGATAAGGGAAACAGCTGTTTTTCTATCGAATAAATTTTAAAAACATCTGATACTAATCGAGTGTTAGCAGTAGAAAACTCGCTACATAACGTAATAAACAGTGTAACAAAAGCTAACTGCTATGACACTCGACCGCCAAAATTTAAATCGAAAAACTAATTATTTCACACTACTTATAAGTGAGAGAATCCAATTAAGCTGCTTAAATGGCGTAAACCTGCTTCCCAGACGGAACCGTAAACGCTCTTAATATATTTTTAAATGCCACTTTCACTAGCTTGGCCTAAATATCCAAGTGCGAGAGTAAATTGCAATGGAAGCAGACAAAAAATGGGAACTGGAAATTTGGATCTATTTACTAAATTGCTTTTCAACTATAATTACATATAAAAAAAGGAGTCATAAAGTAGAAAGCCTCGAAATAAATTGTAAACCAATAAATAAGTATAAGTAAACAAACACTATTTTTAATTTACAATAAATAAATAAATAAATCATTCATGATCTTCTTCATGATCTTTTATATAATAATAATAATAATTATAATAATAATAGTTACTGTAATTGTTTACCAATATACATTCTGTATACCATTTTACAGATTTCGCAATCCAAAATAATTTGGCAAACGCCAGCAAAGAACCCGTTTTGTGTCCAGAAAAGTCCACGGGAAGCGGGGAGTGCGGGGAGGACCACCCACTCCACAACTGGACCCGAAAGTCGGTCCACCGGTGGCGCAATACTTACTGAATGGAGAACTTCGTGCCAATAGGAAACGGAGGATGACGAAGGAGCTGCAGTAAGACAAGACTGATCGTGCCGGGTCTTGTGGGCGGAGATGGGGCAGCAGTGGGCGGTGGGCGGCGGACAGTGGGGCGTACCCAACGGGGTGGGGGGTGGGCGTGCGAGAACATAATAAACACACAACGATAATTAACAAGCCGCTTTCAACAGTTCACTGATGAGTGCAAGGCGAGGGTAGTCAAAGGAATTTCATGGAATATTTTTAAATAAAAAAAATTGGTTTTTAATTTATTTGAATTGTAAAATAAAAATAAATATTATATTTCAAAGGACAAAATAAAAAAATTGAAGTAATTTATTAAGTTCATTTCGATTTTATAGAAATTACATACATATATATTTCTTAAGCTCAAAATATTTATTATATTTTCGCTCATTTTAATTCCAAGTATATATTTTCTTCGTTCAATCAGCTGACAACTTGTTGAATCGACCCTCGCCGAGTGTGCCTGGGCTCCCGTCGCAATCAAGCTTCGAAGATGCGCGCCAAAACAAGCTCTCGTCGCGACGTCTAATCCCGGCTGCAGATGGAGCAACAACAACATAGGCAGCGCCAGCAAATGAATCAAAACAAAACCCAAACAACAACAAATGTTCGGGTCCACTACTGACCTACTAAGCTGCGCCGCGACGCACTCAGCTCCATCATCATGTTGTTGTTGTTCTTATTGCTGTTAAGAAGAGGGGGCTTTTGGTTCGGCTGTGCTCGGCTCGTGCACCCGAAGCCACTGTTGCAGCTTCGGCTCTGGAGTTGCGTGTGGCGCTTTTTCTTGTCGGTGTGTGTGACTACTCCTCTTCTTTCTCGCTTTTTAATGCCCATAAAGAAAGTATATTGATTTGTAAGAGAAGTTTGTAAGGAAGAGCCAAGTAAATTATTTCTTAGCCTAAGTCAACAATTAAACAATAAAGAAGTTAAAGTTTATATACCCTTAAAGCTTGCACTAGGATCAGAGGGTCGAATATTAAATCGATTATAACTAAGCCAAAAATGCAATAATTTCAATTCGGAAAGCTGTTCTGTGTTAGTTTTTACATTGTTTATAAATCTGCATACTCAATTTCAAATTCAAATTTTTTCCAGATTTTGACAATTTTAACGATGTAACCCCTTATAAAATTGAGCAAATTTTAAACATTTTTGGAAAAAAAAATAAATTTTGCCCGGTCATAGCTAGATCGAACCGGATATTAATGCTGATCAATAATACATTGGTTTATAGGGTCGGAAATGACTTCATCACTTTGATTTTAATTATAAAATTCTGCAAGGGTAAGAAATTATAAATTCGAAGTATACTATTGCAATATTTTGTTATTAATATTTATATATATATGTATTTATTATATATTACATTTATAATATATATTTTAATTATAATTTATGGCTTGTATTGAAACGATTGAGTCTGCAAGGGTATTCAATTTATGGCTTCTAAAAGTTCGCTTTTTGACTTGTTTTTTTTTGCGATGGGTCGTTTTTCAGCGTTTGTCGTCGACGAATAATAAATAAGAAAAAGTTTTCCTGCAAAAGCAAACCAAAAGGCAAAAACAAAAGCAACATGAGCCGTAAAAATAAAAGCGTTTTCGCTGGCGCACAGAGCTGAGACCCATCGATGGATCGCTTAGCCTCTCTCTCTCTTCCTCTCTTGCAGAATTTGTCTGTTTCTGCACCGGAAATAAAAATGTTTGAAAATATATAAAATGAATTATATTTAACAGATCTTCAATATAAAACATACTTGATCTATAAAGAAATATAGTTAAGCTTGGAGTTATAAACTTGTAACAGAAAAACGAAATATTTTGGATACAACTTCTAGAAAAAATAAATAACTACTAATAACAGTGCTTTCCATTTTTATATTATATTATTTTTCTTGTTATATAATAATATTAATAAAGGGTAGTATACTGACAATTTTTACTTCAAGTAAATTCTTAAAATTTAACAAGTCTAAGCTACAAAAAATTGTACAAATGTCTCTAATTTTTTCTTCGAGTGTAAGGGGAAAAGAGAGAGAGGGAGGCCATGGCTCGACAGCGGGACTTGGAGCTTGAGCCGCCGCTGCTGGCGTCGCAGTTGCAAACGTGAGTGCGGAGCGTGTGAACGTGATTTTCGGTTTTTCGCTGCAGCTTCTCCCTCGATTTCCTCGGTTTCCTACGGAGCGGTGGGAAAAGCCCACCCGAAAAAAAAGGAAAATAGGAAAACAAAAAAATTAGAAACAACAGAAGCGGGACCCCAAAAGGTCGCGGCAACTGCATACGATTTGCAGCAGTGTGGAAATATGGATTTACCACTAATTTTCATAGCCCCGAGAAGAGAGTGTGTGTGCGACGAGTGTGAAGTGAAACATTGCCAAATCCTTTGACAGATTTCTATTTGCCAGCTATTTTGCATTCGGCAATCGGCCTTTTTTGGCATTTTGGCATTTGGCCATTGAGCGACGCGGCGAGTGTCGATCGAGTGAAAGTAAACAATGGATCGCACCCAAATGGATAGGCGATCGTGGATCACTAACTAATAACGGTAAGTGGTGGGCTTGTGTAACGGCCTCACATTTTCGGGAATTGTCTTGCATAATAAAGTGTTAAAAAATAAACAAAAATTATAACAAATATATAAAGACAATTGCATCAGAAAAGCAGGTGTTAAGGAGCTATTGAATAGCATGGATAAGATTCATTATTGAAGGAAGAGATATGATAGTAAAATGTTTACAAAATTGGAATATATATAAATCTTATGATTAAGATATCCAAATTTGGATTATTCTCTTAATTATAAGATTAGATATTATGTCCTTTAATTGCAACTAGAGTTTAATAATACTTCTAAGATTACTCAAGATAACGTCAAGTTAATTATCCCAAAAAAACATAATTTTTCTTAAAAAGTTAGGTTTCTTCTATTTGTTTTTATTTAACCTAAAATCTTTCTTAAGATTTCTTTCAAAAAATATGTCTTAAAAATCCATTTGAACGAAAGTCTATATTTTTATCCTTATTAAATTTAGACAGCATTTAATCTTTAAACTAAAAACCGAAACCATCAATCAATTTTATAAACATTTTAATCTTCAATTTCCCATTGATAAAAAAAGGGAAACGCAATTAAAGATGGTCACACGTCTCTGGCGCAGTAATTTTTCAAAAATGTGTTGAAATCGATAAACGATAATGCTAAGCGTTTTATGCATATTAACAGCTTCTGTCAGGTCTGTGTTTGTCTTTTATTATTTTGTTTTCTATCTCTCAACGCATGACCACGCAATCATAAAAGCATAACCAACAAACGAAAATGCTTAAAGTTTCCGCTGTGTGTGCTGTTGTTGTTCGCATTGCCGGTTCCCAGAGAAAGATAAAGAAACAGAAAGAGAGAGAAGAGAGAGAGAGAGAGAGAGAGAGAAGCGGAATAAAATGAAAAGTTTCACTTTCTTCGAGAGCAAATACGGCCGGCTGGGATGGACTCGTTGGATTTGGCCCAAACACAAGAGCTCAATAACAAAGCCAAAAAAATAAATAAACTTAAACCGAAAGCGAATCGCCAGAGCCAAAAAAATATCGATTTGCCAAATCGGGAAGATACCTTTTCCGGCTCTGTTTAAAATCAGTGAAATTTTCGTTTAATTAAACCATGAATATGCATTGCTTGGGGAAATGCTTCGCTCGCTCAAGTCGAGTTCGTCGCCTAAGTCTTTTGTTTTGGTTGTGAAAATTTCACCATTCGCCAGCTGCTGCTGCAGATGCTGCGTCTGGCAATTAGCAGAAACAGCAGCAACTTGGCCAAATTTGGTTAAGTGTAACATCAACTTTATTTCCAGAGCCAATTGAATTTATAAATAATTCATTCTAGCCACCGAGCTAGCCAAGAGAGTTGGCCAGTTGCAGCTGGTAGTGGCGGGAACGGGAACGGGTACGAGGCAACATTGTATTTGGGAAATGAAGACATAGACTGGAACGTGCTCTGCCTCATCCTCCCGCATCCATGGCACCCTCCCCGCGCCCGGACTGGGTTTTCGTAGAAAGTCGCTGACACATTAAAGTGTTGCAATACGTTTCTCTGGCGACAGCTCGGCATCGTCTGCGATTGACAAATGTCTTCCTCGATGCGAGTTGACTTAATGCCCATTTGCACTGCAGCACCACCGCAGCATCGCATCGCTGCACCGCTGCACCGCTGCACCACTGCACCACCATCATCCATTCAGTGTTGTCCAAGGTGGATAACGAAGCGTAGATAATTTTGTAGCTATAGGCACTCCCTTAATTCAAACTAAGGTTTTCTGATTTAAATTCTAAGATTTTTAATTTTAGTCAAAATTTTTACTTGTGAAGGAGTCATTCCACCCTCTAAATATATATATTCTTGTCAGCATCCGAGCTGAATCGATCTAGCAATGCCGGGGAAAAATAAATTTTCACATTACATCGTTAAAATGATTAAAATTTAACAAAAATTTAATTTTCTTAATTAATTGATTTTTTATGAATTTTAAATTAATTGCAGATCATTAACAAATTGCAGATTTGCATTTATTAATTAAAACTAACATAGGAAAGCTTTCCCAAGTAAAATGAGTGCTTTTTGGCTTAGTTTTGAGATTTTTAAACTTTGATTTGTTCAAAAAATACTGATTCAAAGAATCCAAATATTTTAAATTAATTATTATCTTATTTTATATTTAATTGCAAACTGGAACAAGAAGGACCAAAAATACTCATAAAGATAGCAAACCATATTACGTATCCGACTAGTTAAACATCCTTTGTTCAAAAACCTTTAAATAAAATATTAATAACTTATATTAACATACATATAACTAATAAAAAATATTTAATTTATTAATTTAAAAAATAAAAATTGAAGGAATCCATTAAAACGAAACCGTATGCCGTATTACAATATTACGTATCCGCCTAGTTGAACATTACCTTATACTAAAATTATACAATTTGATTTGTGATACATATATCAAGTAAAAATTCGTCTAAAAAAAGTTATAGCTTCGAATACTACTTCTTCTAATGGTTTATTTTAAAACATGTGAATTTGTAATTTAATCACATAAAATTACTACCCAGATTTTCATTTAGAACACGTTATGAAAGCTGGCTAGAACAGCATCACTGATTGCACCAGTGACTAGCTCTCACGGCTGATTGGACATATTGATTTGTTTCGCCGACTTGGGACGCTGACAGCAGCATTTGCTCCAATTTCCCTGTGTCTCCTTGGCTTCCAAGAAATATGACAATGTTAATGAATGATATTCGATTTAATTGTCCGCTGCACATGACAATCGACACTAATGCCAAATAGCAGTGTTATTTATCTTCTTTTTCTTATTTTCTTGCGGCTGAACAAAGCGAAAGTAATTCTGCTTTCCATTTCAGGCCAGGCAACGTCTTCTCTTGCGGTCTGACCTGATTTGATTTCAACACAAATTAGTCCGCAGAGTGCCGCCATTTGTTTCGCACCCAAGTTGCGGTCTCATCCTCGGATAACTCGCTTTCTTCACGTAATTGCCATGGTCTGGGATGCCCTCAAGCACTTGATTGAAGTACTTGTCTAAATCGGTGAAAAGGGAGTTATTATTGCGGGCAAAAGGAATTCCACACAGTCATTGATATACAAAGTTGACTTGAGTACATGATTATCAAGTATTTCTGTAAAGACTCTTTTGAAAGTTTCTTTGATCTCTTATTTATAATTTAAGTACGTTCTGTAGAGAAAATATATTTATACTTCCTACCTCTTAATGCCATATTAATCTTTAAGTTGAACAACTTTCTTATTATAAAATATACAACTTTAACTTTGCATAAAACCCAGCCCACTTTCATGGAAATTTCTGGATAAATATTATGAAATAGGTTTGACCTTGCCTTATGTATGCTAATTCGGGGCGGGAATTTTCCCCAGAGATCTTCGTTACCTAATCGATATCGATGGTTGAGCTCACATTTCTGGCACACATCCGCCAGCAAAAACAGCCCACAAGGGAGCCGGAGTCGATCACTTTCTTTTCTCTTGGACGATGGAGTGATTCACCAGCGATCGATACCTTATATATATATATATATATATATGTTTAAAGGTGTGCGCCATATGTGATGGGCAATAACTGAACACCGAATGCATATCAATTTTGGCCAACCAGTTTGCCACAGAGACCAGAGCCCTCGAAGAAGACTCGAAGAAATGGATTGAGAGACCCTATTTGGTAGCAAACCAAACCAGCCGAGCAATTGTGCAACCGAAAAGGAAAGTTGAAAGCCCTTGGAAATGCCTTGCTGGAAATGCTTTTCCACCTCGACGCAATTTACTTTTACTTGGGTTAACCCATTTCGCTTTTGATTGCTCTTTGCATTTCACTTTGCCGGCTGCCACTAACCGTTGTCTTGTCCGGTGACCAGTTGTCCGTCGTTGGTCGTCCGTCGTCCGTCGTCCATTATCCATGGCCAGCTGGCCAGCTGCCGGTTGCCGGTGAACCACTCTGGAGTCTGGAGTGGGTACATCCCGTGCGGTGCGAGACGGCGGCCAGTCTGGCTTGTCGGTCGGTGCAACTCCACAGAGAGAAATTGGGATTGTTTTTGTAGTAAACCTAAGAAATATCAACCTTTTAATAGCTTAAAATAGAGTTGGAATGATTTATTTTGTCAGTTTTGAAGGGGTTTTCCTATAATAATTTAGGTAATAATATTTTTTAATGGGCAAGTGAAGCATATAAATTTTTACCTGTGTAATGACAACGATGCAATTGCGGCCATTCTCCTTCTCTCCTTCTCTCTGCACTGCAGTCTGGAGGTGGCATGCAAATGCACATCGATCATCTTTATGACTTGTGATTGTCCAGTTGGCTTCGCGTGAAAGTAAAATTTTGATTTTCTACCGGCTTGAGTCTCTGGCAATTTGCTTAACTGAGTGAGAGCGGAGTCTATACCGTCTTTCTAGATATTTGTATACAAAACATATTCAAGATGATCTTCACCATGTCTCTTAGCTGTGTCCGTATAATTAGTTCTTTATTTAAAGAAAGAATAAAAGTATAAAGAAGTAATATTAGATATAAAACATTACTTACATTTTATAAATATGTCCATCTCAACCTTTACAGAGCCATGTCATCTGGAGTCTACTGCTCATCGTGGTAGTAGCTCTGCCAGGAGCTTTCGCCGGATTCGGCTTTGATTCGGCCAACTCTTGTAGTCCCAATGGCAAGATGTCACGCCGGGGTCGCGCCCAGATGCTGGCAGCGATTCCCTGTGACCTGGGCAAACAGGCCTTCTGCCACCTGCCTGGCACTGCCTATCCCTGGCATGCTGTCCGGCGGTTTGTCCACGAAAATCAGGGATTGATGAAGCGAATGTACGGGGATGTGAGGCACATATCCATCTTACGAGATGAGATCCAAAACAACGAGGTGGATGCGGATGACATAGAGGAAACGGCGGAACGATACAGCAAAGATGCTGGCCGCAGGAGTGCCAAGTACTTGATGCGCGGCAGGGATCGGGATCGTGATCGAGATGATTTTGGAAGCTTCAAGAACAACGATGTGCTGAGGGAGCCACATTTTCGACCTGTCTCAACCAGCACCACGAGCACCACAAAGGCTACGACGACAACTGCAGCGCCCACAACTAGTAGTAGCACCACGGAAAAGAGCAGCAGTGAGGTGTCTTCATCCACATCTGGAAATGTGACCATTTCTGAAGCCACAACTTCGTCTACTGTGGCTCCACCATCTCCCAAAGAACCTGAACTAGAGGCCGAAATCGTGGAGATTCAGCCCAGTCCAGAGTCGAATAGTGTCTACGAATTAGTGCCATCTGCAGTTCCATCAACCACCATTGGAACACCTTCAACTCCTGAAGGTGAAAATATCCAGATTGTAGATTCTCCACAGCTGGGATTACGGAATCTCAGTGGAGAGGCTCAGCCCTCTCAGGAATCACTCACTGCCACCACTTTAAGGCCCACAGCGCTGCCCAAGAGCTCTGCTGCTTCTCCGGTTAAAAAGAGGAAGCCTGCAGAGACCACCACAGCTAATCCTCCCAAATCCTCCAGCTCAACCTTGGCACCAAGCACTACAACAGCCACTCTGCTGATTCGACGCAATATGACCAAGTCCTCGATAGCATCCTCGGCTTCTGTGACCACACCCGTGAGCTTTGCCTCGCTCTTCGCCGGCACTTCTGGTGGGGCCTTCAGTCCGGAGAGGTTGCGCAGGCCACTGACCACCAGTAGCACCACTGTGCCAGCTCCAGCTGCGCAACTAGGTGGACTCCAGACGGGTACCAAATCGGGCCTGCTGAGGGAGGGGCAACTCTTTCAGGATGCCATGAAGCAGGAGCCGGTTGCTGTGGCAAGCAACCTAAGGGGAGTGTAAGTTATATCATCCATTCTTATTAAATATCTTTAATAATACATACCTTTCCCTGTTTTGCAGTAATGCCTGTCCCGTTAAGGATGAGGTGGTGGCTCCATTTTGGGCCAATAACACACGCGGTGAGGTGCTGGCCCTGCTCAATCTGTATCCCTTCGAGCAGTATGTCCACTGGGAGAAGTGCACCCACGAGTACAAGCAAATGTTCTGCCGCGATGGATGCAGGTGCGAGCAGCAGTATCGCCTCCACCGGCTTTTGGCCTATGATCCACACAATGAGTGCAGGGGCATCTTCTCCGATTGGTTCCGGTTCCCATCCAGCTGCATTTGCAAGTGCTACAACATCCCAATGGAGTTTAGGGCCACATCCGCAGTCCACGCTCCGACAGCAGCTTCGACGGTCCAGCTCCAAAGTCTGATCCCATCGAGGCGGCCGAGGCGGAGGTCCAGAGAGCCATATACGAGCACGCCACGGATGAGTGGTACCGTCCACGCGATGATTTTGACTTCTTAGAGGGTTAATCCTGGAAGGGATACCTTTTGCGAAGATAAATTGTACAGTAAATGTAGAGTTTATAGAGTTATTAGTTAAAAATATTATGTAAAATCCTTACAAATTATAAAATATGTTTAATTAGATACGAGATAACGATAAGTTTACCACCTAAGTGCGGCATTATGTTAATGTAAATATAGGCCAACATAATGCCCAATGTAGCACGAAACTTGAAGAGCGAATGTACCTTGAAATACTTGCGAACGCATCACGGCCTTTGAGCTGTGTCCGATGGTATTTACTAGCATTAAGTTTATTTATATATTCACATTTTAACTGTAAGAAATAACCATAATTGTGGCCATAACATCAACTTTACCCAAAATTAAACAAACCCAGAACAAATAGCTAAGGTGTTTTGGAAAAATATTTATTGTACGCAATCAAATATATATTTATATGTAGTCTGTATATTTAGAATGCTTACGTTTTTGTATAAAATAGACTTTATTTGTATTTAATACGTTGATATATATATTTTAACTGTTTACTCTCTTTAAGGCATAGAAGGGTACGTTGATAAATTAGATTTATAAATTGTATTTATGTGTAGAAGAGGGTTGCATTTTCTTGTATTTAATTTTGCAATTTGAAGAAGGCATTTTCACGCATTTCATTTCAGTTTAACCGTTTACCACTTAAGGCTAGTGATAGCTCCTTTTTTGTCAATCACTTAATTTAATAAAAGATTTTAATGTTGCTCAACAGGCCGCCTGATTTTCAGTGTTGGCCAAAAGTAGTGGTAAGTAAAGCTTGATTTTGAAGAACGTCAATTAATTAACTTGATTTAATATTCACAGTTGAAAAGTTAAACAATTTTAAGAGGGTTTCAAGGCCAAAACTAGAATCGTTTGGGTGCATAAAAGGCGTATATATAGATTTATGTACTTACAAATACATAATAATAAATTGCATACAAAACAGACTTTTGGCTTAGCATGTCACCTTAGACGTTAGACGGAAATCTAGCTCCAGACGAAGTATATGTATATATATATAAATAAGATATATAAATTGCATCATACCTTGATTTGTGATCAACTTTAGCTTGAGAGAACACTACAACTACAGACATAAATTAGGTGACACGAGACAGAGACATGAAACAGGCAGAAATACCGCGCGTTGCTAGCGACGACTATTGAATACTCTGTGTTGAACGAAACGAATCGAATCGAATACGAACGAGCTCGATACTATTGATGCGCTTTAAAGAATACTAGGCGTGAGTGTCGCGCTAAATAACTAAAACTAGGAAGCCCAGAAAGAAGCTCAAGATGATACCGGCACCCAGAGCAGTTTATCCTGCTCCTTGTCGACGGCATCTTTGATTTGGGTGCACATGTGCTTGATGCTGACACCGGGTATGACGGCTGCAAAGAAGCATTTAACGTTAAATTAGATATTGTAAGGAGGAATGTATAGATCTCCATGACTTTACCTGATATGTACTGCTTGTAGTCGGTCTCCAGCTTCATGGCCCGCTCGTACATCTCCTTGGCCGCCTTGGCCGAGATTTTGTCGGTGCCAAAGTCGCGTATATCACGGATTTGCTTAGCCGACTTGAAGCGCAACAACAGGACAATCGGATAGATTTGCAAGCGCTGCAGACGCTCTACGGCGGATATGGAAACGTCCAGGATGCAGTGGCGTCGATCCTGCAAAGGGTTTTGTTTTATTTTTTGGCTTTGGAATGAAATCCTTGTGAATATACATACATTCTTGCAGGCATTGCCAATGGCCTCCACGGTGGTGCACTCAAACTTATTGCCCCGCCGACGATAGTCCACAAAGATGTTCTCCTTAAGGCCCTCCTCCATGGCCTCCTGTGAGCAGTCCATGGCCGTCACCTCGCACAGCTTGAAAAGGTTGGAAAAGTCGATAACCAAGCGATCCATCAGGCATTCGGAAAGCGGTCCAATAATGAGCACGGGACGTCGAACGGGCGCTAAGAGGGGGAAAATGCTTAATGTATCATATTTCTTGTAAAAGATTAGTCTAGAAATCAACTTACAATCCAGCAGCTCTACACGCTGATAGCTCAGGGCACCGCCATCATCATTGAGCAGGCCTAAGTCTGGAAAGAAGCTGAGCTGCGTATTGCTAAAGCTGGCAATCTCTGTGGAGTCCCTGGACGAGCTGCGCTGGTTCTTTTTGCGACGAAAAAACGATCGCCTGGCTGAGGTGCTGCCGCGTCTGGCGGTACCCGTATCACAGTCCACCACCTCACCGGATCGTAGTTCCTCCTCCACTCTAAAGAAGGTATATTAATTAAAAAGAACGAAAAACTTGAATGCTCTATTAGCTCACTTCATTTGACTTGGTATAATGCCGCACTCCTTGCGATGCCCCATGGCGTCCAGTTTCCAGGCACGCCACAGGCCAAAGGTGCCATTAAAAACCGTATTGTCCACATAGAGCACTTCGTCCTTGACAAAACGCAAGTCGTCCTCGTTCAGCTCACCAATGCGATCAAACCCCACGCGTATATAAAACGAGTCCCCGGGCTCATCCTTGATTTGCTTTAGAGCTGATTTAGGAAGAGAATAGGTTAAATTTTTAATCAAAAACTGAGACGAATATGTACTCACTGTGCAGCTTATTCTGCACCAGCATGGTGACCGTGTCCGTCAGTTTGGAGATCTCATTGGCTGCCTGCTCGGCGGTGACTGCGCTGAGGTCCACACCATTGTACTCCAGTATCTGATCACCCTTGCGTATTCCTGCATGATCCGAGGGCGATCCGGGTGCCACATCGTGCACATAGATGCCCACCTTGTTGCCCCCAAATAGCTTGATGCCCAAGTTCTTAGACTTGTCCATGTGCAGAGTCACATACCTAAGAGCTGAAGGAATAAATAATATAATTAATAAATTAAATAGTTAACTGAGTTTAAGAGGGGATATTGGTTAGTAGGAAATAATAATAGGATTGAATCGGAAATCGATTTCTACGGTTGGAAATGATTTCTTCACATTGTAACAAGCTTCTGAATATAAATCTGAATAAATTTCGTAAATATAAAAAAGGTTTGCATTAAAATCTGTTAAAAATTACCTAATAATATCAAAATATGTTTACTAAAGTCATATTTTGTAGTGTAATAAGAAATTTAAAGCAATTTCAGCGTTGAAACATAAGTAACTTGAGTAGATGGTCATAACACATCTTTTAGAAGAAGGAAGTTCCTTCTTCTTTGGGCTTTACAAAGATCTGAAAGAGACCCTTCAATATATACCTTACTCAGCGTTGGGTTGGGAGTGTGGTTAGTAGTAGGAGTAGATTGGAGTGGAGTGGTGTGTGGTAACTACGTACTCTCTGAAGGCACGGAGGCAGGAGGCGGCGGCAATGCCGGCTTTGGCTCCTCATCGTATACCGTGGACGTGGCCGAGGCTGTCGTTGTGGTGGTGGTAGCCGCCGATGAGGGCATGTCTTGACTGCTGCTGATATCCGACTGGTTCTCCAGGCTATCGGCAAAGCTCTGATCCTTGATGGACTGATGGGAGAGCGGAGCCCTTGAGCCGGATCGTGTCGATTGAGGCGGCTGCAGGGGCTGCAAAGGCAGCGGGAACAGAGAGTTGCGAGCCGGTGGACGCGGAGAGTTTCGTGGCGTTGGTGAGCCCGAGTGATTGATGGGAGATTCTGGTTCCAGATTGTGCGCTCCCTCGTACTCCATCGAAGGGAACTCTGAAATGAATGGAGGATTAGCTTTCAAGGGTATCTGGCTGGGTATTCAACGACTTACTCTCCGGATTATACTGCACTAGCATTGTAAAGGAATCGCCACACTGGCGCAGCACATTTGCTGCAATCTCCTGCGTGGCCGCTCGCATGTTGATGCCGCACACTTCCAAGAGTTGATCGCCCACCTGGAGACCGGCACGCATCGCTGTGCTCTTGTCGGCAACGGTGGACACAAAGATGCCTCCGCCGTTGTTGTTGCACTGAATGGTGATGCCGAGCGACTTGTCGCGCTTGTCGATGGTGACTCTTCTAAGGTCTCCGGGGCACAGAAAATCCGCGGGCACATTGGAGTTTCGTTTTCCACTCCCGCCGCCGCCGTGGCTGAGGACCTCTACGTGGACCTGCGGCATTGGTGATCCTCGACCACTGCCGCCTCCTCCGCCAGCGCCACCGCCTCCTGCAACTCCCACTCCTGATCCAGTTCCACCGTTTCCACCCACCATATTTCCGCCAAAGCTGTTATGGATACTGGAGCTCATCAGGGAAATGGGTGCCCGATCGGAGGAGGAGGCCGACATGGAGCCACCGCTGGCCGGCGCCGTGCTGGTCACATAATGATGATCAATGCTGCCCGAGCTATTCTTAACCATGCTGCTGCTCTTGCTGGCCACACTGGGATTGGATGGTATCCTCAGCCGCTGGTTATCCTTCTTGCGGGGAAAGGTGCCACCCTCGTAGATGACGCCGCCAACTCCGGATACGCCACCGCCAGAGCTGCCCACACCCATGTAGGGATAGGGACCGTGGCTGTAATCCAGATACGGGGCATGCGGATGCGGATGGGGATGCGGCATCTGGTTGGCTTGCTGTACATGATGGTGGGGATGGTAACCGTCCAGATCGGTGGGTATTCCCACGCTATCGTGCGGCGGCTGTTGCGCCGGAAGCTGCTGCATCTGTTGCATTTGCTGCTGCTGCTGCTGTTGCTGCTGTGGAGGTGGCGAGGGCAGAGTCAGAGGACTGGAGCGCCTGTTGTTCCTTACGCCGGGTCCAAAGCTGGGGAAGAGCTGCGTGTGCCGGTTGCCCGGCAGATGGGCGGACTGATGGAAGCCACCGTAACCGATGTGAATCCCAGAACCGATGTGAATCCAGAACCGATGCTCTCGCTGTCGCTCGGATACTTGGGTACGTGTCTCACTGCCTGCGGCATGGGCACATGACGCTTGGCGTACACACCGTACTCACTGATTGCCGGACTCTTTGCGGACAGTATCGACTCAA